TCGTGTGCTAACCCTTTGACACAGAATATTATATGAAAATGAAGCTGTCTCGTCGGCATCATCTGAAAGATCGTTTTCATTTTCTTTTTTTTTCTTATATTAAGGAATTGTCCTTGTAATGAACAAAAAAAAAAGCTGAAAGATAATTTCTCGATTCATTTATTATTTTGATATGAAAAATAAAAAAAAAAAGCATCAATGTTGATGAATTCTTCTATTACATCCGCTTTCACGTAAGAAATAAAAATTACTATCTATGATTGCTGATCTCACATCATTAACCATCATCTATACAAAAGAAAAAGAAATAAATGTTCCACGACATATGTTGCTACAGTCTGTTGCAATGCTTCCTGTCAATGTAGAAAATGATTACAAGACAAATAATGAAAATCAAAACCTTTTTTTTTCAATAATTAATTATAGATTGCCTTTATATTTTCTATCAGGAAAAAAGATAAGATTATTTCTGAATCAAAACAAATCGAAAGAAAAAAAATACACAAATCTTAATCATTTTCCTACTTCTTGCATAACAGCTGTTCGTATAACCATTGTTGTTAGTTGATCAAGAAAACGTTCATATTCTTGTCGTTGACATTGATTTTCAAAAAATAATCTTTCATTTTCTTGTTCAAGTTGTCGTATATGTTCTTCAAGAAAATGTGTATGATGAGTTCTCATACTTGTTTTATACTATTATTAATTAATACATAGAAGAAAAAAAAAATAACAATAATGATAAAAACAAGAATATAATTATACGAAACAAAGCTAGATTTATTTTTATTTACCAATGCTTCAAGTTGATCAATACGTTTGTGCAATTCAACATTTTCAGTTTTAAGAAGTAACATACATTCATCAAATTCGCGAATCTTCGTCTAAAAACAAAATTCATAAGAATCAATTTAATAAAAAATAAGTAAAAGAAAATTTTTCTTTTACTTCATATAATGATGGATCTTGAAGTTTATTCTTCAATCTTACTAATATACTCATGATTGTCGATTGTTAAACATTAATCATAACTAAAATAAAATATAAAAGAACTCAATATAAAATGTTCTTTATGTCTCGTCATCTTTATTCTTATGCATATCAATTAATTTTGATTGAATATGCATAAGTACATTTAACTTAATGAAAAAATCATTTCGATTACATTTAGTATTACGTATTGAATTAAGAGTATAGAAATCAATAAGAACATTTGAAATCTTTCGAGACAAATTACTTATCCTCTTAGAAGCTAAGAAGATGAATGACAATAGGTTTTCTTTTTCTTTTCACATCATTTATACTATTGAACTAATTCATAGCTACCTTTTTTTCTTTCTTGCTATTCTTATGGTCTACCTCTCGTCATCTTACAATTGAGATTGTGCAATCATGTAAAAAGAAAAACGGAAAGAGAAAAAAAGCAGAATGTCAACTCAAGAAACACGCTAACAGTCACGATAACTAGAGGCGATCGATCGAAAAAAAA